GTTATTCCATGGTAGAATAAATTTATTATTTGCAGTTGTAATTTGTTCAATAAAGAGTAGGTGGTTGTTTCTCAAACACTTACTTCTATGGCAGCTAACTAAGCACGCTGCACTTAAAAATGTACCTATTCAAAAAAAAAATTGCAATTCATCATATTATTAAAATTATGTATTGATATATTATTAATATATTATTAATGAATATAATTTTAAAAGGCGTAAAAACTTACAGTAATATCCAGGGTAATAACCGTGCCATATTGCGCATATGGCAAACGTGGTAAACGTCGTATAGAAAGTTGGACGTTGACCTGGTGGGCTTATTCTAAGGTAGACATAATTTTTTAACCATTTGTCTGTCTGACAATTCCAAGACTGAATTAAAGCTCGAGGGTTATCAGAGGTTTCGTAAGCAAAAACATCAATATTAACAACTCGATCACTATTTATAAGTAAAAAATATAAGTATATGATAACATTATAAAGTTAATTTCATTGAAGGAACTTACAATCTAGGATTTCCTCTTCCATCTCTTCCATTATATCCTAAACCGGATAGGATCATGGACCCCTCCGACATAAGCCAGACAATATAAAAGCGGAATCTGGCACAGGAGCAGGCCATCTGGACGAACCAGATGCTATTAAGCAGTAATCAAGGATCAGTATAATTAAACAAAAAATAAACCACAAAAAATTTAATGCAATAAACGAAATTTACCGGTCGAGAAGTGTAAGCTTTTTGTAGTCGTCCGTTAATGTCCAAGAGATTGGATATCGGCCGCCAAAAGCAAATGACATAGCAAGTATAAAGAACCCAAACCAAAGCTTGGACAGAGCTTGTTTGAGACCTAAATCATCTGGCATATTTTCAAATTCACCCGAGGAGTTAGCCCATTGTCGATAATCTTCAAATTCAATAGCAGGGCCAACCATAATGGATGGGAAGTAAAAAATAAACCCGAAATATTCGAGTAATGAAGGAAACTTATTAGCAGGAACGGCTTTTTTCAATTGACGGGGAGTAAATTGGGCGATGTCTATTGAACTATCTATTATTCGGTTTGTGAATGATTTTTGACGCGGGTGAAGAGACTTCAAGAATCATGGTATGATATGTGAGTAATCAACTTGATAATAATAAAAAGAAAATATCAAAGCAAAAGATAAAACACTAACAGGTCCTGATTCTGGTACTTGATCATCAGATTCTTGTTCCACTTCTTTCAAATTTAAATTTTGGCCATCATATATACTGTAGGCAAGTGAAGTCAATTTAATGACAATGACCATTTCTGGACCTGTTGCATCGTATTCAGTGTTAGATACTGCAAGTAATTGCCGATAAATATGACTATATGATAAAGAAAAAAATTATTATTATAATTGTGATAAGGTTACACAAGAGATAATTTTGGCAATTTTGATTGTCCGCTTAACCCAGAAGCTTTACCAAGTTTGGGAACGCTAAAACCAACGGTTTTATAATTGATCGAAAATCAGGTGATCAATATGAAACACAACCTGACTTTGGCGCATCTCAAAAATAGTAATAAGAAAGAAATTTTTTTTTACCTCATACTCATGTGGGTCAAAAGAAATATGAAAATAAGTTTAGGACCCCAATGGTTTTTGATGTATAGCAAAATGAGATAAGCAACCAAGGAGTTAACGAATAAAATTCTGACGGCATCAAAAAGATCAAAAACTCCTAAAAAGATGAAAAGAGAAGCGGCAATATTGTACAAATGCCGGAGTTCTGGTGTTCGTACAAAGCGAAGACCTAAGGCAGCTGGATATGCACCGACCAAAACACAGATAACCTTTATTTGATCTACAGAAACTCCATCTAGAAGATCCGCGCAATGGTTAAAAAAACTGTCAAAAAGGGGCATTCTCTCGTTGAAAAGAGGTATTCACTCGGGTGAGCAAAATGATTGTTATAGTAACAGTAGAGATTGGTTTGGATGAAACAAGATGGAAGGAAAAAAAAATCCTTTGTTTTTTATATGCCTCCCCAAGCATTTTTCATTGTCGGAATGTCACACAACAATACCTACGCAGTCGTGCTACTGTCGTGCAACACTGTCAGAGATGATTTCCCGCTAAAATTTCAAATATTCCCCAACCAGCACATGCTTGAAAAGCAAAAATTGGGGCAACGTGCTTTTATATATGATCTACATTTAGGGATATCGTCATGTGGTAATGCATATTTAAATTTAGACATCGGAATTCATCGCTTATCAATAATTCAAAAATTTTCCGAGTTGATACTGCAACGATAGTCAATGCTAAAAAAAAAACTTTAGTAACATATTGAATATTGACAGGATTAACGTTTGGATATCGAAAAAAACATTCATACCGGGGAATATATGTTCGATCAATAATCCTCAAGGGTTATCGTTTTTAATATAATCATCATAAAATGGATACTAACGTTTTAGGAAAAATTAATAATGAATTAATACATAATTTCTTAGATAAATAAATATAAGACATAGGCGCATGCTCGTACGTACGTATGTGCGTGCGTGGTTATTTTGAATATTACTATTTACCAGAAAAGTTAGTGAATTGTTTAATTTACCTTCTCTTTTTGCTAATCACTATTAACTTTATCATGTAAAATATTTACCTTATCTTCAAATCTTCTGCTGTTACTCAAAAGCGTTTTGTTTTACAATAGCGATTGTTGATTTGCAAACCTTAATAAGTATGTACATGTACATCAGACCAACAGGCGTTATGGCGTCAATATTTTTGTGTGGTGGAACACAATATGGATAGAATAATTTATTATGGTAACTTCCAGTTACACTAAATCCAAATATTCTTAAATAAGTACAATACACAAGTACGTACCCCATCAATTTTTTAATTACAAGTTTGAGTTCCTTATTAATTAACCCTTATCAAACCCCTTTTATTTGAATTACTATTTTTGTGTAAATTGCAATATAAAACACCTTTAAAGCTGAATTTGTGTAGTCAGCGTATCAAAAGAATAATAAGATGATCCCTTTGTAATTCGATTATCGTTAATTTTAAATTCCATTTACGTATAGGTATCTGTAAAATTATCACGATGAATGCTTTTTAGCTAGTATTGGTAAGGAATATATCAATTTACGTCTTGTCCCCGTTACGTCATGAATATTGCTTTGACCATATAAACTAAAAGAGATTAGTAAAAAAAAAAAATTGCAAAACTTGAATTGTTTATTAAAGCAATGCTTTTTTATCTTACCAAAAGAAATTATTAAGTTAATTCTGGAAATAATAGTTTGAGGCAATTTTCTCATGTAATATGACTTTAAAGTATTTGGATCTATGTCTCTACCTCTACACTTTCTGACACGTTTGAAGAATAATCCTTCGAACGACATTTTTGCGCGAATTTGATAATTATTTATTCGTTTATTAGCATTAAGAATTACAGAATACCGTTGCTCAATACTAATTGGAATAGTGACTAATCTTATTAATTCACCATCAACTGCAAAAAGCGTAAATGGGTGATTATCAATTGAAAGTATGAGGTGGGTTAAAGAGCTCATGTTTATAATTTTAAATCTATATTTTTTTATCCGGTTGAACAACGTAAGTAGCGATTTTGTTATTCGAGTTATACGTTGAATTTTGAGGGCTGTATTGCAATCATATTGTCCAAGGCCACTAATTTCACAAAATCATGAAGAAGATCAAATCCTCTATAAATGTCATCATGAAAGAGTGGAGGTAGAACACCAGATGTTGTGTGGTGCCAATCCGACAATGTTATTACGTATTCGAAATCGTATTTCTCGAAGTAGAGGTATTTGGGATAACAGTTAATGAACTATTAAAGGACCTCTGAGACCATCAGCAATTTGACCCAGAATATGAAAATGGTGTCTTGGTTATTAATAAATATTTCGTTAACCGATAAATCATAGTTATTTCATCGCATTGTTGAAGGGTGAAATTGTAGAAAAACGAAACGCCATTGGAGACGTTATACCTGCAACTTCGTCGTTAAAAGATTGTACGGGTTTGAAATGTACCATGCCAATGGACTTCAAAAATTTTTTTTTAAAATTAGATTGTTATTAGAACAGGTAATTAGATTATTTAATTACCAAAAAATGGATGCCCAAATTATTGGTTACGTTGATGAGAAGTCTGTCTCCATAATTTACTTGAATTATTGGGGGCAGGATATTGACCATAAACAGTTCATCTAAATTTTATGAGAATAAAAAAAATAAGAAACAAAAAGAAATCAACTTCATCAATTTAATGAATCTTACACTAAACATGTATATCCATCAAGAGCCAACTTCTTTACTATTAACTCTATGTTGTAACATCTAGTTACAGGGCCATCGGTTGATGGTGCGTTAGGGTTTAAGGACTTTAAACATATTTGAAGAAACATAGGTACATTCGTATGATTGAATACCAATCTAACCAAGCTAGGTTACTTGTGCTAATAATATATGGGATATGAATATTAATTTAATTCTCCTTTTTGTCTTCAATAAAACGAAACTAATTTATTAAATGATAAATCACTCTTCAATCAGTGTTTTTTTCATGATTAATATTGATTGATACCATTAAATCCTTGCAGGATCATTTGACACCTTATTTCCTATAAAATTCTTATGGACGTTATTATATACTAGTGTTAATAAATTTAATACGTACATTAGTCGTATTTCTGCACTCAACAATCAGATCGGAGGTTTTAGTGATGAGATCAATTAACTAATATATTTACGGAGATTTTCGGATGGGTAAATTTAGCCAGCAAGGTTTGATTTTTGCCTAAATTATGCATATCGATATGGGCGAACTTTTTTGGTTTGGTAATTGATAAAAATTAAATAAATTTTCATAAAATTTCTATCCATCATTTATGTGATATTGCATAATTACTGGTATTAAATATAAATTTAACTGTGCATTATTGTTTTACCTGCTTATAATGAGATCCTTATGAAACTGCTTATAAAAACACAAATTGTATGATTATTTGAATATTAAATTACTTATTAATGCGTAATTCTATTATATCACTTAATTTTAATGATCACAATAATTCCACAAAAAATTTTCGTTCATACAATATTTAACATTAGCTGAAAAAATTATCAAAACATTTTCGATAAAGAACAACTTTTTCGTACCGAACACATGCATAAAAATTTGACATGGGATTAACTTGAATAGCTTATTTTTTTAAATTAATGGATAGACTACAAATCAAGAGTATAGTTATACTACGGAGTTCAATTATCTTTACCTCATAACGAACTATGCTAAGTTTAAGGTTAATTTAATTTTCGAATCTAATAAAACATTATATTCACATCATTTGTTTAAATAAAATTCTTTTTAATATGTAATTTAAAACCTTACCCAGTAAGACACATATATTTGGGTTGAAATATTTTAGATTTATTGATATTATGATTTTAACTATTTCAAAAAAGACTTTTACTTATTGTGTTTAACATATTTAAATACATTATCTTAAAAATTAGCTAATTAATCGGTGTGGGGTGTTTTAAGTAAACATGTTTTACATCTTCTTTCCAAACCTCAATTTTAACCCCAAATGCTAACCTTCGTGTGAAAAAATTTTGCATTAAAATTTCATATACAAAACTTAAAAAATTTTATAAAACATAGGTGCATTTTATAATAAATATTCAAAAATATTTTTTATTTATTTTAATTAAATTCATAAGACAAACTTTTATATAAGCAAATAAAAGTTATATAAACAAGTTAAATAATATATAATAATAAGAAAATAATTATTTTTTGAAACTCAATTGAATTTCTTTATAAGAAAATTTACAAAAAAGAAACTATATATAAACTTCATATCCAAACGATATCAAAAATGAAGACTTAGACAAAATTTTCTGTGACCTAAACCTAAAATAGCTATTTTAACTAGTAGTGATATTATTACTTTTAATTTTTATTAAATTTAAAGTTTGGCTACAGTTTTAAAAAAAAGTTAGATATGAAGGTTTAAATTTTAATTAAGGCTAGGTTTTTTTTAGAGATTTTGAATATTTTACTTAGTATTTTGATATAAATTAGCTAGTAGAGTTTTGAAATACAGTAATCTTGACAATATAATTCTAGAGAATTTTTTTAGTATTAAAGTAAGGCCTTGCTTAAATATTTATTAGTAATTTTAAAAATATTAACTACATAGTAACTATATAAAAATACTACTATTTATATAAATATAATAAAAATAAAAATTATATACAAGAATAAAAGCTTAAATATATTTATTTGTAACCTAAACATAGGTCAAATAAGAATATCAAGTTTATATTAGATTTATACTGGAATTTTTTTAATACTGATATATGCCTGATATGAATTTAAACTTTGGCTCAAATTAAATATCTATAGAGGTTATATCAGCATCAATATATATCAGCATTAATGTATATCAGCATGCTAATAGCTCTATAGACTAATAGATAGCTCTATCATTAAGTCTATAGAGCTATCAATATGCCAATATGTATTAATGCTAATATAACCTCTATAGGTATTAATTTGAGCCAAAGTTTGGGTTTATATTGGATTTATATCAGTATTAAAAAATGCTAATATAGACCTAATATGTATCTAATATTTTTTATTTTGACTTGTAAAACATACTAAGTCAAGACTCACTTTGATTTATTTGTATTTATACAAATTTAGATAAACATAATTTAAATATATATGTACTTTATAAGAGTCTATAAAATATTATAAAAGGTTATTTAAGTATAATAATATAAGAGTTATTTATTTTTTTGTGTTAACTAGCCTTTTTGAAGCTAAGATTTTTATTCAAGTATTGGGTGAAGAGGCTCGCAATAGAGCC